ATTTGTTTCAGGTGTAAGGTGGGATGAACTTAAATGACTTCGATCGTACCATGGGAAGGGGTTTTTTACGGGGGGTTTTATGGGGTAAAGATTAATTTTTTCTCATTTTTGACCCTCAAAACACAAAATTTCCTAATTTCTCTCTAGACGTTTTTAAAGAGTTTAAAAAACAAATCAAAGGGTTTTGTACAGTTATTGGTAACAGAAATAATTCAAAAAATTGTAAATGTTATTCTTATAGAGAATATTGTAAAATGTTGTAGTTTGATTGTTTTTAGCGAATTTCCCATATAGGGAATAAGCTGTTACCGTAGTACTCATGGTAAGAAAGACCTGGACCCGGGACCGATTTATTTTTCATTTTGAGGTGCCTAGAGGCCAAAAACACCATCCGTTCAGATTCATATATATATATGTCCTTTAGCTTATACATTTAAATACAACTCGAGCAAAAATGATCCGATTTTGATGAAATTTGGTACAAACGTGTAAACCTACATTTATTTGAACGAGTTCGCGAACCAGCATGATTGGACTTGGGAACGGGGTTTTATGGGGTAAAAATAGGTTTTTCCCATTTTTGACCCTAAAAACACAAAATTTTACAATTTCTTTTCACACCATTTTGTAGAGCACAAAAAAACAAATAATTTAGTATATTGAAGCGTTATTGTGCGCCTAATGGTTACGGAGAAAATTCCAAAAAACTGTAAATTTAAAATCCCCATGTTATTCTTATGGAAAATAAGTCAACTGTTGTAGTTTGCTTGTTTATGAACATATCTTGATCGAATTTGGAAAATACATTAATTTCTTACTAAACTATTAACATTAAAAAACCACCTTTTTACCCTCCCTGTTGCAGCAAACCTAAGTACTTGTTAAACTAATTCTATTTAAATAGGGAATAAATATGATATTTTTAAGGAGGCATTTTAGTGTGAATTCCATAAGGCTAATGGAAATTCGCTTAGTCTGCAGGTTTGCAGCGGCGGGGGTATTTTTTATATATTTTGATCAAACTTGGCAAATTTATTTATTTTATATTAAGCTATTAATTTACTAAAAAAAAAACACTTCATTAGTTTCTTTGTAGCAAACCTCGTTAGCAAAACTCATTAAACGTAATGTTATATAGATTTAATTCAAAATCAATTTAGACAAATGGAAATTGGCTTAGTCAGCAGGTTTGCTTCGGCGGGGGTTTTAGCGAATTTCCCTATAGGGAAGTAGCTATTACCGTAGGTCTCATGGTAAGACTTAGGCCCGGGACCGATTTACTTTTTCATTTTTATGTCCCCAGAGGCCAAAAACACCATTCGTTCAAATTTTTATATATGTATATATATATATATATAGATATATATATAGATTTATATATATATGTGTCCGTGAACACGATAACTTGAGTAATTTTTATCCGATTTTGATAAAATTTGGTTTGAAGGTGTAAGGCGGGATAAACTTGAATGAGTTCGCGATCCAGCATGATCGGACCATGGGAACAGGATTTTATGGGGGGTTTTATGGGGTAAAAATTGGTTTTTCTCACTTTTGACCCTCAAAACACAAAATTTTCCAATTTTTCTCTAAACCTTCTTAAAGAGCTTAAAAAAACAAACAATTCAGTATATCAAAGTGTTTTTGTACGGTTATTGGTTGCGGAGAAAACAAAAAAAATTTTAATTTAAAATTCCCATGTTATTCTTATGGAGAATATTGTAAAATGTTGTAGTTTGCTTGTTTATGGATATCTTTTGATCAAACTTGGCAAATATATTCATTTTATACTAAGCAATAATTATTTTACTTAAAACACACTATTTATTAGTTTCCTTGTAGCAGCAAACCTAGGTACTCGTTAAACCTAATGTTATTTAAATAGACCAATTGAAAATCAATTCAGCCAAATGGAAATTCGCTTAGACGGCAGGTTTGCTGCGGCGGGGGTATTTAATGTTTCAGTGATACTGGTATTTTAGGTAAATAAATGAGACAATGCAAATAGGTTAATACAAGTTTCAATGAATGTTTATGTTTTGTCAAATTTGTTACCAACAGGAAACGGTTTATATAAGTTTTGATTCGGTTCTTTACCAAGGGAAGTAGAACATTCTTCTGTATCCATTAGAGTTTTAATTTTTTACTCATTAAGCCCTTTAGGTTCACTATCTCATAAACCCATGCTAAAAAGGATTATATTATCATGTTGATGAGAAACCTAAGCATGGTCCAAGATTGGTTGTAGCGTTGTAGCTGAAAGAGAAGTTGGCTGACTTGGGCCAAACTGTGATACTAAGCAACAGTCCGTAATCCTTTCAAACTGACTAAGAAGGAATTGGTCGAAAATTTGATCTTGTATTTTTTGTTATTGTTCAATTATACTAAAAATTAGTGATACAAATATATAAAAAATATTTTTTTATGTTGAATATTAAGGGAGATGAAGCTTGAAAGTAGTAAATTTGTCATATTTTGGTACCAATTCACAGGGGGATGGGTAATGCGATTCTCACCAAAATTGGCATTCAGGTGTGAAAAAATAAGATATTTATCACTAGCTATTTAAATTTTTTTTTTTATTTTAAACTTGTTTTTATATTTAAAAAATAGCTTGTCTTTGGGTGAAATTCCTCTATATGTTGGAACTTTTTAAAATGTGATATGTTAACTCGTTTGGGCTGTGAATTCGTACCTTTAATGCCTTGCGCTGGCAGTGCACTACTTGTTGACAGTGTGCCGAGGCTATAGAATACAACGTTAAATGTTTTCTGTTATGTTACATGATGTTAATATATTTTATAGCTCCGGTGTGAGTGTGTCGCCAGCGCAAGGCATCAAAGGTACTAAATCACAGCCCAAACGAGTTAACATATCAAATTTTTTTTTTATTCCAACATTTAGAGGAGTTTTACCCAAAGACAAACAGCTACAGTATTTTTAAAATTTCAAAATTGATTTCAATATTTTTTAAATTTTTTGAAATATAAAAATTTAACCAAATTTTAATTTAAATAGCTAGTGATAATTATCTTATTTTGTCACACCTGAATGCTAATTTTGATGAGAATTGCATTACCCATTCGGACCAAAATATTAAAAAAATTACTACTTTCAAGAAAAAAATATTTCTTATATATTTGTATTTATAATTTTTAGTATAATTGAACAATAACAAAAAACACATCACATTTACGACCAAACGTCCTTAAAAGTTACCTTTGTCATGACTTAAAATAAGGTGCATCGACACTGGACAGACGCTTACAAAGGAAGGATTGTACGTGCCAGACCCCACCCACATTTTTTTACACATTCAGTTTTTGTGGCTTTGTCAAGGGTGCGCTTTTTCAGTGAAAATCATGTCTGTATAAAAACAAAGCCATCAACACAAAAATCGTAAATGGCCATATTATTATATTGAATATTTAAGTAATCAAAGATTGTATAGTCAAGGAGTTATGGATTTTTTTTTCAAAGGGTAGTTGAAACTAAATCTGAAATGTATTTAAGTATTCAACAAGCCATGAGAACATCTTTCTATCAAAATCTATTTTGTTCAGTAGTAAGCAATGAGGAATGTGAGAGATTCTACATTTACCAGTTAAGAGGAGGAATAGGAATAATAACAAAGAATTCAAATTATATGTTTAAATTGTCTCACGACGGATGAAAAATTCTAACATCTTGTTTAAAAGAAAAAACAAAATTTTGTTTTGATTCACATGATTATGCCCTAAATTTGTTGTTAAAGTCATGTAAAGAAGTCAAGAAATCCATAGAAGAAGTTTTATTCAGACAGCATTTGGAAACATTCTCAGAAAACCGGCATAAAAATATAATGAGCAATGCAGGACCTAAAGCAAAACATGATACATTTAATGTATTTCTGAAAAATTACATAATCAAAAAGATCTTGTTTGTTTTTGGTCTCATAACAGTACAGTAAACCCATGAATAACCAAAATAAAGGAAACAAAGACCTTTCGGTTGTTCAATGGTAGGGGTTTAAAAGCTATGCCTGTTTAATAAATCTAAAATAGTTTTTTAAGTGATTTTAGTTACTGACTTGTAAAACTGTAAACACAAAATGTATTTCTTAAAATCAACAAATTATGCTATAGGGAAGTACCATAGCTATTGCCATAGGTAATAGATGTAGAAAGAACTACATCTGGGAAGGATTTACTTTTAAATTTTGATGTCCCCAGAGGCCAAAAACACTATTTGTTCAAACTTTTACAAATGTGTTCGTGAACACACACAATAAATTGAGTAATTTTTCAATTTTGATGGAATTTAGCATGAAAGACTGGGTGGGTTAACTTTAATGAGTTGGCAAACTAGAAAGACAGGTCATAGACCTTTAAAATTTTCCAAAACTTGATTTTTTTAAAATTTTTAACCTTTTTAAAATGGAAATGCTCAATTTTCATTACAGCAATCTATTGGAGCTTAAAAAGAAACAATTTTGAAGGCCTACCTTGAAGCATTTTTGTACAATAATTGAAGGTAGGTAAATAGAAAATAAAAAACTGTACTTTAAAAATTCCATGTAATTTTCATGGAGAAAAATCTGTTGTAGTTAGCTTGTTAAAGGTTACCATTTTGCTAAAAAATGTGGCAAATTTATTGATTTCATTCTATACTAATAACGTTTTATAAAAAAAAAACAAAAAAAAACACACAAACAGACAAACAACCGACAATCAGTCAAATTAAAATTTGCTTAGTCTGCAGGTTTGCTGCGGAAGACGTATTTTTAACTCTATCCACATCACGGTATGAGATCCATATTGTCTTCATCTGTTTTATTACTTTCTTTTGACTAAGCCGAACCAATTATTTTCACTACAGAAAGCAGTTTCCATTGTCTAGCATGTTTTCTAATTTATTCAATTTTTTTATAATGGTTAGGGTTAAATCAATTTTTGATTTCACGCTATTCGGTTGAATGAAGTTTAATATTAGTATTGGGTATACAAGAGAAATCCAAAGAGGAAATTTACATATGATTTTTATTTAAGTAAAAGTGTAATTTTACAGGTTTATAGGTTGGACTTAGCACAATACACCCAACAGTGAACCAACAAGTTCATAAAACATAATATCCTCCTCTTACTGAGCAACATCAGTTTAGCAGACTTTCATACGGCGGTTAATTGATGATACAACAGAACTCACTCTTTGACAAGTACTTTAAAAGTAAACATTTACATACAGCCTATTATCATCAATCACATTTACTTATAATAAACCCAATCAACACATTTATGAAACAGTAACAAAAATAAAAAGTGATCTCAGGAGCTAACAAATCTACAAGGTAAGATTAATGATCTACATTAATCCATCTTACCTGCTTGACAAGTCAGTGTGTGAGAGCCTAGCTGCTCGATAATATAGTTGGTTAAATTAAACCATTTACATGGAATTTAATTAAACCGTTTCTTTTCAAAAGTCTACAACCCAAGTGTTAAGACGTGTCATGCTAAGTTGCTTTTTAACAAAACTATGTACACATATTCAGCTGTAGGTAGTTAAAGATAATGTATTTGAGTCCCTTTTCACTGACTAGGTGAACCTTCCTCTATGCCAAGGTGTTCTCTGGTACTAGGATTTTAGCTAATGTGGAAATCGAGAGCTAAGTAAGGCAAAACCATGTTCATGACTAATTTTACCTTATTACTTAAGAATATTCACTTTCAATAAATCACTGTTAAAATGTATAGTATTTTACTTCTGTTAGACTATAATAGGTTAATCAAGCTTTGGAATTTTATCTCACATCATATTTTTTTATGCCGTACAGTAATAAAAGTTATACAGATATACATCATGGAATCCGGTATTCTAAAAAAAAGTATGATTTTGATACTGTGAATGATTTCTGGTTTCATTAATTACAAACAATAGTTAATTCGTTATTGCGAAACACTGTAACACTTATTAGCATTTTAAAGGCCATTATTACAAAAATAATAAACTATAAAATATACACCTCGTTTCAAAGAAAAGAAACGTAAATAAATAGTTGTGACTGTCCAAATGAATTGAAATTAAGATAAATAACAGTTCAGCAGTCTAAGAAGTTAGCTGCCATGAGTAGTTCGAGAGCGATTTGAGGAGCGATTGGGAACTCCGGAATCTCAGTAGAGCTGTTAGTGTAGCGAACCTTGTAAGTGAAGTACATACACACCTTCTGGAGTACATGTGACCTGTAAACAACTCCACTCATATTAGACAGCTGGCTGAAGAAAGCTTTATAAGGGAGGCCACGTTACCGGCTATAGGAGGTCATATGTAACTTTAGAACTATAATCTGTATGATGGAACCTGTTTTTTGACCCTCTGTCTACCTGGGACTAGCCCAGGACTTACACCATTGGCCAGTCCCCAGATAGACGGTGGAACAGGAGACAGGCTCCATTATACATACAAGCTACAAATACTCTATTATCACAGTAAATAAAGTTTATATCTGATATAGTAAAAGTACATAACATATACTCCTAGGTGCAGACTGGAGTGAACAAGCTTAACTAGCTTGAGAAAGTAGCCAGGGTGTCACAGCGGTTAGAGGTCGATGGACTGCTCTGCGACAATGGGTTATCGGTTTTTCTTGAATATCTTAGCTGTTTAAAGGGTTAATATTACTGGTAGTATACAATAGGTTGTGTAATGTACTAAACATAAAGACACACTTACGGAATTTCCCTGAAGTGAATTTCATTAGTTTCGTTCTCAGCGAATTGACCGGGTCCGCTGAGCATAGCCTTGATAGTGCCAGACATGAGTGCATGTTCTCGCTTCACAATAAACTCGTGACCGTCTGAAGATATTAGCTTAACATACATTGCATCTGGGCCCTCACAGCCGCCATATACCTTCTCCTCCTCCTGAAAAACCATAAGACATACTATTAGTATGAGGAGTGACACTAATTTAGTTTAGAGATTAGTTACATATAGTTTAAAATAGGCCTACCTTGAAGAAATACAGTGGTTAAACCGCTCAGTGATTAATGCTCAATGTTTGCATTTGAAACTCATAGGAAAAAAACTCATTATTAAAGAAGAAAATAATTAACTGTTGTTCAATAATTGGTCTGCGTGTCAGATAGGGCCTATCCTAGAATGGGCTCGCCTGATGACTTCCCCCCGGAAAACTACCCCCCCAAGCAGGTTCCTACGTCATATTGACGTCAGAGACCGGGGGGGCAGTTTTCCAGTCACGGACACTCAAATTTAGTTGTCAAACAGTTCTAATCTAACCTAACCTAACCAACCAAACTTGCTGTAACATTTCGAAAATCGGTTTTATATTCACCACATGCCTTTTCTATTATCCAACGGAATTACTCGAATTAAAATTAAAATTACATAGCACGATTTGTCTAGGGGGGGTAGTATTCCAGTCGCGGACACGGCTTCCATATTGGTTAGTTAGCAGATTTTGTGACGTCACGTTTCACCTGGGGGGGGGTAGTTTTCCGGGGGATAGTATTCCGCATCCCCCTAGAATGTGACGCCTCTCAAGAATACACAGCAACACAAGTTTTAAAATATTCTAGCACTTAAAGCTTTACCATGCAAGGATAGGTATTACGTAATGTGTTTCACACTTAATGTTTTATACTATCATGCAATAAGGCCTAAGGTTTTCATATAAAATTCAACTTCAGTTTGAACACTTTTTGCAAAGCTATTTTGGGGAAATGTTCTTATAGTTCCTTAATTATTGCCCGACTTTTTAAATATTAATTCTGCCTTTAAGAGTCCTTAGAGCCTGGACGTTCTAACTCGTTAAACAATTAAAAAACTACAAAGACAGTTTCTTATCTCACAGTATACTAGATATTTGGATTACAATCACTTTGATGTTTGAAAAAATATTTTGAGATGATAACTCTTCAGCGGCTGTTTGAAATTAACAAAATTAACATTGCTCTTATGGCGGGCAAATCCAAGATGGCCGCTAGCTTTCATGGACTCCCTTGTAGAACAATCCAAAACTACAATGAACATTTCTCACAGTATACTAAATATCAAAATTATGATCACTTTGGTGTTTGAAAAAAATATTTTTGGACAATAAATAACTCTTCAGCAGGTGTTAAAAATTATCCAAGACTGTCGCTAGCCTCCAAGGAGTCTTAAGTTGATTTTTTATACCAGTTCATTGGCCATAGGAATCCTTTTACTATGGTGGTTCATAGATATAATACAGTAGATTAACAAATTTTCAATTCCATTTGGGACCGCCTTACTTAGCTTGGACTGTAGCCTATTATTCCTAATGATACAATGTACACACCATGACTCAACAGTGCTTGTTATAACAGCATTCATTTATAGCAGGCAAAGTCAACAAGATTTGAATCTCTGAATGAACGTGTAGAGCTGCACTAGGCCAAAGCATCTGTTAAACTTAGTTTTGAATAGGCTACCTCATAGCCTGAATAAAAAATCTGATTAACTTAAATATGTTCAGATTAGCAAGCGTGGTAGGCTAGTAAGCAACAGATTTTCATATCAATTTTAGTTTATATTATAGTTTCAGCGACATCAGAATTAAAATAGACTGGCTATGTCATAAGCCTTTACATTGCGGGAATTGAAGCCATGTTGGCCATCTTGGATAGGTGTAGAAACGTCGAGCGGGCCTAGAGAAGTGTAAAATGTTCAGTGCTCCCTTTTCATTTTTACTGTTGTTTTGTTTTATTACCTAAAAATGCTCTAAATGCTTTGAACCTTTACATACTTGCTATAAATTCTAGTATAGGATGCTAATGGTAGGCCTATGTTTGTAATCAGAAAATTAAAATGGTTTGACATTATAAAAATTAAATTAAGTTCAAACTGTTTCATACATTTTAACTGGTGACATCTAAAAGTTTTGTTGCTAGGAAGTTTATTGTTTTTAAGGCAGGAGTTATGTGAGCGAGAGAAATGTTGCCAGAATACTATATTTTCTGAAACTTATTTGTAGAAAAAAATAGCTGTTGTAGTTTGATAATACAACAGGTACACAAGCTTCGTAATGCTAATTCGTTCGCGGCAACTTGAACGCACGCCCGGCCTCTACTTGCCGGGTCGACTTGCCCAGCTTCGAGATTCCAAATTATGTACCCAGGAAGGTATTATCATACTAGAAAATACCCCCGCCGCAGCAAACCTGCAGGCTAAGCGAATTTCAACTTGTCTGATTACATTTTTACTCAAATATTTCCATAAATAAGATATATTTATTCCCTATTTAAATAACATTAAATTTAACAACTGCTTAGGTTTGCTGCTACGGGGAAGGTAAAAAGTGTTTTTTGACCATACGTGAATAGTATGGGATGAAATAAATAAATTTGCCAAATTTTATCAATATATATCCATAAACAAGTAAACTACAACAATTTTTATTTTCTCCATAAGAATAACATGGGAATTTTAAATTAAATTATTTTTTAATTTTCTCCGTGACCGTTAGGCATACAACAGCGCTTCAATATACTAAATTATTTCTTTTTTTAAGCTCTACAAAATGGTTTAGAAAAAAATTGCAAAATCTTTTGTTTTTAGGGTAAAAAATGGGAAAAACACATTTTTACCCCATAAAAGCCCCCATAAACCCCTGTTCCCATTATGCTGGATCGCGAACTCGTTCGAATAAACGTAGGTTTACACGTTTGTACCAAATTTAATCAAAATCGTATCATTTTTGCTCGAGTTATCGCGCTAACGGACACACATATATATATATACTAAGCAAATCAAAATACCACAGTACCCTAAAAACATTTTATTTTATATTACTTACATGTTTCGGACATTAATGCCATGATCACAGTATAGTATATAACCTATTAGTTTCTTTTATTTACAAACATTATTAGACATTTCTTATTAAAGAACAGGTGATAACTTTTAAAAGTTATCACCTGTTCTTTAATAAGAAATATCTAATAATGTTTGTAAATAAAAGAAACTAATAGGTTATATACTATACTGTGATCATGGCATTAATGTCCGAAACATGTAAGTAATATAAAATAAAATGTTTTTAGGGTACTGTGGTATTTTGATTTGCTTAGTAACATTTAAAGTAGCCCTCATTGATGTATACAATAACAAAATATATATATATAATATATATATATGAATTTGAACGGATGGTGTTTTTGGCCTCTAGGGACCTCAAAATGAAAAAAAAATCGGTCCCGCGTCCAGGTCTTACCATGAGTACTACGGTAATAGCTTATTCCATATATGGGAAATTCGCTAAAAACATACTCTTAGTATAAGTTATGGTATGATATGTTTTTTGGTAACATTTAAAGTCTATTAACCACATTATATTAGTATTTATATTGACATACATTTGCATAGAAAATGACAACCAACTACACACATAATTCACCATGTGGGGTCACTTGGGGTTTGTTGTAAGGCCCATAAAAGGATTAAAATACAAACACAGTCATTATCAAATCAGGGATCTGTGTATAATTATTAAATCAAATACCGATACTACATCGAATTGCTGGTAGCAAAACAAAAACTGTTCGTGCTAAATTAAGGTGTTTATATAGTTTTATTTCATCCATACCCACATGACCAAATTTACGTACAAGTTTATCTATACTTATTTAATACGCAAGCACGATTTTTGTGACAATTACTCCTCCGAAACTACTGAACCGATTGGCATGTTTTTGGTGTCATTGGAAAGAGCGTAACGTGAAGTTGTGCAAGAAACTTTCTTTTTAGGTAAATAATTAGAGAGTGAGGCCCTGGGGCCCTTTAAAGTTTCGTATTCCTCCATAAGATTTAACATGGGAAACAAACATTGTTTTGAAACCCCAGCTGTTGTCAGAAATTAAATATTAAATAATTGGTCTCCATGGAAGCATGAGAAAATTCACAATGTTTACATTTGCTTTGACATTTTATTGTAAACAACTAGAACTGTCAAATGTCTATCTAACAAATTCCGACAGCTGATCCAAAAAAAAAGTATTTTCCTTCCACCATGTAAAACAACTATGTGGTAGGTTTATTTAATCTTAAACTTTATGATAGATTATTTATTATAAATCGATTTCAATGATTATGAAACAGATTTTTCCCATTGCGAAGCAAAAATTAATAGTGAGAAGAAGAACATATGTCAAACAGTCATTGAGTAAATTATCTATGTTGTATTAAAAATGTGTTTAGTTTTGGATGTTGGTTTGTGTTAAATGATATCGGTGATTAGTTATTGCATTTTTATTCTAAGGATTTTGCATATGAGTAAGCCTGTGATAAATAACACCATTTCAGAGTTCTGCCAGTTTTTGCCTAACTCTATCCTGTAGAGTTTAAAGTAGCATACACCTTATTGTCTACATATTGGCCAAACAACTTAGGTACGGTACTTTATAAAAGCTGACAGCCTTTTTACGTTGACTTAAATTGTAAGCTTACCTTTTCCCGTACGTGGGCAGATTGATTGTTTAAAATTAACCCTTTAAACTGGAATAGGACTGTCATGTAAATTGTGAGTATTTTTATCAGTCAATAATCTTTTAGTTGACTCTTTTAAAATCATCAGAAATTATGACTGTTATTAGTTTTTAAACAAGTTATTTGTTTATAAATAACTCCTGTACTTCTTTGCAATTGCTCGATTTCGAGCAACATGTACACTAGTTTAACTTAAGTTAAAACTTATGTTAACACTGTTATTAATATCTAAAGTTATTATCTGGTTATATCTGGCTATTTTTAGCGAATTTCCCTATAGGGAAAAGTAGCTATTACCGTAGGTGGCATGGTAAGACCTAGGCCCGGGACCGATTTACTTTTTCATTTTGATGTCCCCAGAGGCCAAAAACACCATTCGTTCGAATTTTTATATATAT